GTGCCCAAGTGTTTGAAGGTGGCTGGGCTTGCAAGAAACTCCTTGCAGCTTCCCTGGTCTTGCAGTGGCTGATGTGGTGGTGCTGTGTCCCGAAACCAGCTTTCTGGTGAAGCACGAGGGAGGAACTAGTGCTCTCGTGATGAGGATTTGGCTGGGGGTCCGGGAAAACGGGGAGACCGTGGCAGCTGGGAGCGGGCAGCTGGCGGTGGTGTAGGACACTCTTCAGGGAAGGGCTTGATCACCATGAATAGCGCGTGGTCACTGATGGCACAGTGTAGCACAAGGTCAGACAGCTTTTTTTATTTTACGAAAAACACCCATCCCAGGAGTAAGCCCAGAGTTTTGGGAAGATTTTTCAGAATTTGCATTTACTAATCTTTGAGTAGTTGCAGCCTGTTTGTTGGGTGGAATTTTTTTGTTGTTTCTTTGTTGTTTTTTTTAAGAGTGCGTGTGCATTCTGGATGTGAATAATAAAATAAGGGAATGAAAGCAAGTCAAAAATATCTCAGAAATAGTTCAGAAAAAATGTTTTGAAGCGTAAAAAGAAGACTCCTGAGAGACAGCAGTAAAAGAAAGAATGATTTGACTGAAATCAGGCTGTGGTAAAAAGACACATTTCAATGTACTACTGTCCCTCTCCATCTCCCTTCCCATTTGATCTGACTCGCAGACTTGCTACATACTTCCAGATTTATCCTAAAAATATACTGGAGGCAGTGGAAGAGAAAAAGGAGAAGGATTTCTTGGAGACAGAATTTTTTGTGTCCCTCTGTGGAAAGGAAGCAGCCTTGATCAGATAACATTGCCAAACTAATCTGCTTCTCACTGTGCTTATCACGAGAGCAATAAGGTTAATTCTGTAGTAAGGGCAGCAAAGAACTGTCAGTTAGTGTACAGAGGAGGATGGACAGACAAACAGACATCATTTCTTGTCTGACAGGGTCAGCTAGAAGCTGCAAAAAGTAGTAGTAGCCAAGCCCAGGGGAAAAAAAGAAAGACTGTATTTTAAGCTATTGTCTATGGAAAATATAAACATTAATATTTATTAATAACATGGACCAAAGTAATGGTGCGACCAGTTGAGATGCGATGGATGAAGTGTGTCCCAAACCGTGCATCAAGGCCAACCAGACTCATAGCCAGCAACAAATAGACTTTCCCTAAAGCAAAGGTGTTTGTCCTGGGACTTGGGGCTGGTCCTGTCGCTGTCAAGAGGACTCTGGAGCCGTGGAAGAAATAGTATGAAACTCAAAATGTTTTGGAAGGAACTGACTGAAGACTTAAACGTTCTTCCTTCTGTCTGGAAGAGAAACACGACTCCTGTGGTTTTCCTTGAAAAGGCAACAGAAGACAATCCGGAGTGCCAAGTGCCTCTGTCCTAAGGCTAGCGACCAGGCCGATAGAGCTGGAAGATTTTATAAAAACCTCATTAACAGAAAAGTATCGTTTTCTGGATGTTGGGAACACTGTTCAATGCTGCCATGATCTTGATGAAATGGGTTGTTTTAATGGATCATTAAAGTCTTCATGGTGCTTCTTTGCAAAAGATGAAGTGTCATCTGCAATCCTTGGCCAATTTCCAACCTTTCTATTTGCCTGCGAAGTTAGTAAGCTGATGCCAGGTCTCAGTATTTTATTGTAAGTCTTACATTTGGTGGGGTTTTTTTCCTTGAAAATCTAGCTTTGGGAGTCCTATGATTATATAAGCGTTTAATCTACACTACATTTAAAAACGTTATTGTGTTGAAATGCTTGAAAACACGAATATTAACAAAGGAAGAAGGAAAGAAACCAAGATCAATCTTTTTAACGTGATTTTTTGTGCTTTGAATTTCTGAATATCCTTGAATGGTCATTACTGATACTATCTCTCCCATTTTAACGAACATAACACAGTTCTGAACAGCTGCTGTGATGAGATGCAAAAGCAGAGGTGTCTCTCTGCTATTCAGGAATCTCTCTGCGCTAAATTTTAGGAAAAATGTACAATAATAATAAAGGAATTCTGACACTTAAAAAGTCAGTGATGCTTCAGGGCTGAGATTTTTCCCCCGGTTCAGTTCAGATCAGTTAAACAGCCACACATGCTCACGCCTCTTTAAGTAGTTTTAAAAGCCACAGGGCTTAAAACTATGTGTGAACTCAGAGATCACACAGGGGAAATGTGGTTGCCCAAGCATTTGCCAAACAGGCAGTGAGTTGCAGAACTGTTTAAAAGATCAGCTGGAATCTTGTCTGCTTACCCCAAAAAACGTGCACTAACTCTTGCAGGCTCCAAAGACACAACGCTGGCCGGCAGTAGGCTCAGCGACTGGGATTCCTCTGGCTCCAGTGAGCTCTTTGCCTGCCTCCTGCCCGTTGTTTCTCAAGGTCGGGGTCAGGGTGGCTTTCTGTTGGATTGATCCCAAATTTCTGCCCTGTTCACTGCTCCTCATCCCGGAGCTGTCTGGGGTGACATTAATTAACATCTTTCAATGAAGTTTCGACACCAAGAGTCTACGATTGTCACCAGTGGTGATGAAGGACATTTAAGCGAATGGGGTCATCAGCGCAGAATTCCTTACGTAGAGCCCTTGGGGATGCTGCACAGCCGTGCCGGCAGAGAGCTCCCAGCAGTGGCACGCCAGTGGAGGCAAACCAAGCCCTAAGACAGGCCTTAAAATCCTCCCTGCTGAAGGAAAGGACGTTTTAAAGAGGGCGATGTCAGTGCCTATGCAGGGAACCCAGGAAAACACATCAGTACCAGCTGCAAGCACAGCGGCTGTGTTTCTGCATGGCAACCCGCAGGAAGGGGCACCGCAGGCGTGTCCGTAAGCATGGATACTCATTTGGAGGTAAAAACTTCTAATAACAATGCAGTAGTCACGAGCTTAGCAGAAAAAAACATGTCTTACTACAACACCAGGGCAACGCTGCAGTAGTCTTTAAAACAACCTGGAACAGAAATAAAGATTCCTACTGCGAAAATACCAGTCACCTTTCACCACTGCCTTTGAAAAGTAGTGGTGTTTTATTTTTACACAACTTTTTTACTTTATGTGAAAAACTTCTGTCCCCTGAACTGAGGAAAGTGACCTCTTCTGGGAAGATACTGCACTCAGTTTAACCCTGAGCATTATAGTCTTCTGTCAATCACTTCTCCCACCGCTAGAGCAATGATTTTCTACAATAACCTTGCACTTAAGTCAATCCATTCTCTGGGTTTCACCAGACAGCGTTTTATCTCAGCGGTTTCTTGAGTCATCATGATTTATTTGGTATCTGAAGGAGGTTTTATACTTTATATTCCCTTGGCCCAGAGGCACCAAGTACCCGAAGTTCTGCAGAGCCTCAGCTTCCACGCAAGGCTTGTTACAGCCTCACCAGCTGAACAAAACACCCTTTGCCATTACCAACATAGCAGCAGACCATAAATATTCATGAGTTATCGCCCTGGTTTTATAAATTATCTACATCACGGCTGTTTCATGTAGACTTACAAGCATACTCTTCACTTCTGTCCCTTCTAGCTCCATTCCGCAGCTGGCTATCCAAAAACCTCAGGTGGTTTTAGTCACGAGGCGGTCAGCGTCGCGCTCGTGAAAGGGCACATTGATCCCGAAGAACGGGCGCCTGCTCCAACACACGGCGTGCAAGACCGCTGACGCTCGAAGCGTGGGGGCCGTAGGGGAAAACCACCCAAAAGCAGTGACGGAAGGGACAGACTGGTTTTGGTTCTTGGCTGCGCGGGAGTTGAGCTGGGACACCGGTCTGCTGTGGGAGAGCTTCCATCACCCACGGCTCTGCGTCTTGTCACAGGGAGCTGCCACGCCACTGCCCGCCTCCCTCACCATACATGTACAGAATTGTATTTATACACATATGTAGTCAAGATAAATATTGATATACAATTACAATACATACAGTGTATGTATATAAATTCATCTGCAACTAATCTTGAAACAAACCTTGGATGAGGGAGCCGAGGCCCCGGCGCCTGCCAGATTTCTCACAAGTAGGTTACAGAGACAGCCCGGCTCCCCCTCGCCTCCCCCAGAATCCGCCCCGCACTCCTTGCTGGGCAACGGCGGCGGGAGGCGGGACGCCCGTAGCCGTCCCCTGAGTGCCGTGGGTCTCTGCTGCGTGGGAAGGGAGAGGTTTGTGGCCGAGGACAGGGATTTGGCTGGGCTTTGGCGGTGATGTGTCTGGCGTTTGCAGGGGATGGAGCTGAGAGAAGCCGACCCCACTGAGGGGAGCTCAAACCCCCATGAGGAAAATGCAGTGGGAGTTTAGCCAGCGTTACGGTTATGGTTCTGCCGAGAAAGGGCTTTTAGTTTGTGGGTTTGGCTTTTGGTCCCTGAGTTCTTACCATAAGCTGTCTATAGGTAGAAAAAGAATTCTGTATTATTTTTAAAGCTGATCAGTCAAAATGTGTTGGGGTTTTCTGTGGACTTGCGGGGAGTGGGAGGAAGGGGCAGAGAGGAAAGCCCTGAACTAGATCACTTTTGGGTGATTCTGATTCATTTTTCCACCAAGACAATCTCTCAGTTGCCATCTGCCGCTACTGGCCCCTGATAAACCGGTAAAGAAATGTTAAATGGCGTGCTACAGCTGTTCATTTTTTTTTAAATTCCCCTGCAAGAAAACCCTGCGTGGGTCACCGAGAGGCCTTTGCTGGCTGCACCGGATCACATGCAACCCCCGAACCAGGCACCCCACACCGACGGGAACGGGGGGAAGGGGAGGACCATGGGACCTGCTGCCCTCACCCCTTCCCTCGGGGCGCGGCATGGGGCGGGCATGCACCCATCTTCCCTCTGCTCCAGCCCCAGCTCCGG